GTGTCGAAGTTACCCTAATTTTCGTGGTCTACATTTGTAGATCATTGCTGATTGTAAACTTTTGTCCACCGAGTGTAATATACCGATACTCTATATAAACTTTTTACTATTTTTAATAATGGAAATTTCGATTTGCTTTGATCATCGTGGTATTATCCTCTATGTGGCTCTTTTTTTAACGTTAACACACATGAATCATCAAAGTTTTAAGTAAAGCATTGCACATAAAGTGAACTCAAAAGCTAAAACTATTTTTTGTACTCGTTACAGTAATCCAATCTTTGACAATCATGAGATTTTTTATCACAAGCAAATTTTGAATATCTTATAAAGCAACTTGGTTGGACGAATCAATACTGTATGATCTCTGCCTCAATGGAATCATGAAGAAAATAAATTAAAATGATTGAAAGAACACAAAGTTGTGGCGTTTTTTGTCTTCCAATACAATCAAGTTTTCCTCTGAAGTGTAAATACCCATGGCGATCTTTCGCAATATATTAAATTGATTTGGGTTCTCTCATATTTGATAGAAGGATACGGAAATATACATAACGCTCGTAGTCCAAAATCTAATCAATAAAATTTACGAGTCCTTCTTTATATTAGTTCAGATATGTATGTATTAAACATCTATAAAGGAGTACGACCTAAGATACCAAATAATGTTCTGGATTATGATCCACTTGTACTATTCAGAACGTATTTGGAAAGCACTTTCAGTACTACAGTTCTTTATACTTATTGTTATTAAATTATTAATAATTTGTTAATCATGGATATTAACTATCAAAAGCGGGTTATCTTCTATGACAAAAACGCAATAGCATTGTAGTGCATAATTCTCATTTATCATGTACGTCATTAATTTTAAAAAAAGGACTTTGTTATGCAAAACCTATACATTTCGTAATCTAGTCAAACATTGTAGGTGATTTACGGAAGCTCTATCGCTATCTGTCACTATGATTCTATTATATCTATCGCTATGCATATTTATTATTTACATACACACAAATAGAAGTCACAATATGACCAGTTTTACCGAACCAAACTTCAAAATTACAAATTTGGAATTGACCAAACAATAACCTGAAAAATCGTAAATAGCGTAAAATTTTACTATGATCACCAATTTTTGACCTTTAAGTAAAAATGCTCAGCACAAAATTTTAGATACATGAGTAAGAACGTTTTGTTGGCTGGCACGAATTTTCTATAAAATTTGTGTATTATTGGATCCTTTAAAAAACACGCATCGTTATCATAGTAAAATTCCGCGCTATTTACGATTTGTTACACTTGATCTTGTAATTGGATTGGTCAATTTCAAATTTGGAAATTTGGTTTGGTAAAACTGGACAACCCCTGAAAACCCCTGAAATTTGGTTTTGTTTGTTTGTTTATTTCTGGGTATCGTGTAGATTACTTCTTTTGGAATGATGTAATATTTTTTTCTCACGCCAAAAGTTATTAAAAGAAATTCATTTTTTTTTTGTAGTTTTTTGGGACTCTCTTTCTTCTTTCTCTGTTCAGGTCACGATTAAACGAGTCTGCTGTTTACAGTAGTCTTACTTAACCCTAACCCTCTCTCATATGGGATAGTTCTTATACACATATCGGTCACGAAAAGAGTCCGCTGTGGAGTGTGGTAATTCGTGCACAGCCCTGGCTGTTGTGACCACTGACGACTTTGATCTTCATGGTGAAACACGGATTATGAACGGTAGTCTGTCAGCAGCTGTGTTGATGTCGTCCTGTTGCTAGAGGAGACTTTTCTCTGGTAACAACCCAAAAACAGGTTTCTACGAATTACTCTTCCCAAAGAAAATTTTTCTGGACTTCTTATGTGTCAAAGATTCTAGGGTCTCTTAACGTTCTCGCGACCATGAGACTAGAGGCTCGGAGTCACTATTTAGTGTGCGTCGCGAAAAGGGTCCGCTGTGGAGTGTGGTAATTCGTGCACAGCCCCGGTTGCTGTGACCTTTGACGAGCCTTCACGGTGAAACACGGATTATGAACGGTAGTCTGTCAGCAACTGTGTTGATGTCGTCATGTTGCTAGAAGAGACTTTCTGGTAACATTCCAAAGGTTTCTGCGAATTACTCTTCCCAAAGAAGATTTGTTAAACAATACTTGTGTTGTTTTGGCAATTTTCTGGACTTTTTAAGTGTCGAAGATTCTAGGGTCTAACAACGGTCTCGCGACCAGGCCCGGAGTCACCGCTATTAGTGTGCTCTCAAGTGAACGCCGAAATTATGTGGGGACACGTGGGGGAAACCCTCAAAGATGTTATTAATCCTCATCAGGCCTAACGCGTCTTTTATCTCGTCTTGCGCATCGCGTAGGCCATTGTTACCGCCAAATATCAAGCTTTAAGCTTAAATCTCGTTTTCGGGCTGACAAAACCTACGAAGTGTATACTCCTTCCTTGACTTTTTTCAGGGATGATGTTGGTAAAACGGTATGGGATGCTGGTACGCTCGCGATTGTGGCGGATAACCATGCAGTTTCCAACGTGGCTTAGAAGGTCACTGTGGTATTACATTGATGTCGAATGAGAGTTTGAAGTGTTCCTTTGGGGCATTTTTGTCCTGTTGGCCCGGGCTTCGTTCCGTTTGGTCCATTGTTCCACCTCAGTCCGATCTTGTTCCGAAGGAACTTTATTGTAGAGAGTCCCCTTATCCCAATCGAATTCGATGCTGCCACCTCAACGTGGTGATTGGGTGGCAACGAGTCAATGTTTTATTTGATTCGGCGAAGAGCGGCATCTTGTGTTTTATTTAATCCAAGGCAGATTCTTTTCCGCAGCACTGGTCAATCGATCTTATTGTCTTAGACATGTCACTTGCAACTACTTACAACTATTAACCAGAACGGTATCAACGTTCAACAAACCCTATACTGAGCAACAACGTGAAAATGAACGCGAATGGGAGAGATTCGCAACAAGAAACCGATAGCAATGACATTACCATGAAGCGCTTAGAAACTACTTGCAGAGACGATAACTATGGAATGCACAAACAAAATGAAACTTACCGGGCCAAATCAAGCTGTGTTCGCAGAATAGAAAAGTTAGAACGCGGAATGTTGATAAAAGAAGCGATACCAACATCAGGAAGCCATAAAAGCCCATCAAAACAGCAAAAGAACAACGCGAAATAAAATAAGCCGTGATTTCCCCTTTCTTTCTTTAACCCTCTCTATTATCCATGGTAGTTGATACATGTAATCGACCATCTATCGTCAACTATTGCGTCGATAAAAAGCCGGAAAGATAAAGAAGCATTTTTCGAGTTCTTGAGGAGAGAAGCGTACGAGCATAATATAAATATAATCGTTCAATTCGTAATCAGTCAATTATATCTGGATCAGACGATCGGACCACTTTGAAGTAATTTTACTTTTTCCTCATTTTTAACTGGTCTTTTTTTCGGCTTCTATTTTCAAATTTGTTAACTGCTTTCAATTTCTCCTTTCTTTTTATAATGTAATTACGAAGAACGTCTCCGTTAGGTAATTTTAATTAAGTGCAAGAAGCAATGAGTGCTTCCGTCTTAAAATGAACACTAACGGAGACGTTCTTCGTAATTAAAAATTACACGACGCTGCACTGGTCAATCGATCTTGGTGTCTTTAGTGATTCCACTATGATGAAAGTTCAGCTTTCTCGAAACAGTCCGTTTTTCTTTTTAAAAATTGGGTATAGGTTTTTAGATTTTTCCAGAATGACGGATATCGTAGGTCAAGTGACGATTGAGACATTAGAAGAGAAAAAATATTCAAGTTCAGTCGTAAAAATGTTCATAGGTATCTTTTATAAAGGCCGCAATTTTTGGCGGCAAATGTCAATCAGCAATGAGCATATAGCATATATAGCAATTATTAGTCGTTTATCTGATTTGCATATACATTGTGAAAAGTACATGCACAATAGAATTGGGTTCAATTACGCCAAACAATGGTAGTAGATCTGCAGAATATAAATTTGCTGCATCTGGTATATAATGTACATGTAAATACGATCTACATTTTGTTTTTTATTGAGTATGTAATTCAATAAATACTTATCGTTATGTTGTGAAATTCATAAAACCGGTTCGAAGAAATACTTTCACACCGAAATTTTTAGAATTAAAATCATTTCTGGATTTTATTATCGTTATCATTATTGTATGGCAAACAGATTTGATTAAGCATCAACATGTATGTGTTCAAAAATATTATTGATGTATACAAACAAACAAACAAACCAACCCTATGAAATATAGCTATAGACTGAGATTTCGCAGTTTCAAATTCCCTTTAACTTTATCTAATTCAAAGCTGAAGTTGATAGAGTAGGAGACATGTAGAAAGTAATGGAGAATCATCCTCATTTCTCAAATAGATTTGATCGATTCATATTTTCTTTAAGCAATGGAATTTTCGTATCGACGACACTTTGTATGTATGGAAGGAAGTGGCAATCCATTTATTTATTTGCGTAATAAATAAAACATATATTAATTATATGCATACATGCTTTCAGTAAAACAAAAAAGGTCTAGTAGCATAAATAAAATACGTACATGTACTATCCATCTATCAATCGATTCAGAAAAATTTTTGTTTGATAAATAAATAATTGGCTGAAATAAAAAGCGTGTTTTAGAATGATTGAAAATGTGCTTCTGTTTTCGATTTTTAGATATTTACTACTAAAATATATGAACAAAGAAAAAAATTTGTGATTCAATGATTGGCGGAAATTAAAAAGTGTGTCCCTCTGTTCTCGAATTTTGGAATTATGTATACGCAAAAAATGGCACAGATTTTCCGCCATGCAAGCTAAATAGATATAACACTGTATTACATTATCATCGTTATCATTATCGACATTATTAATATTATTACTACGTATTATTAATAACGTTAATAAATAAATGAATGTACGTTTCACATATTCATTCATTCATGTCATGTATTTCAACTGATCTTCCTCCATTTATTTATTTTTAATTTAATGTAATTTTATAAAAGTGTGTCGTTTTCGTTTTTTGACCGATTAACAAACATCAGATTAATCGAGTTAGCTTAGTTGTGTAAATTATTATTTTCACTCTTTCGCTAAATTCATATTATAACCCATCATTATACTTTTTATCCTTTATAATATACATAACTAACTCGTTATCTTTTTACTGGTGCGTATTATATAATCACGATCTCTTCCGCCCCTTGTTTCTTTAACACCTTTATCTACTTCATTAAAATGAACACATTAATTCCGCTACCGATCAAAAAAAAATTCTCTAATAGTAGTAAAACTATAATAATAACAACAAGAATAAAACGAAAGCATATAAGATTGAATAAGAACATTAGACGAGATGGAACTACCAGCTTAGATTCATCACGTTCATCAGCAAATGTCAGCAATTGTAACAATTGCAGCAGCGACAACGAAAACAATAACAACGGTGTCAAAAAAAATTCAAATCAAGTATTGTCGTCGTCACCACAGCCATCCAATTTCTATTTGACATCAAAAAATCCAATCAACTTTTCAAAGAGATATTATTATGCTGAAAATGATGATTTTAATTTAGAGTACAGTCAATCACCATTATCCGGTGCTCAAATAGCATCAATTGTATGCAGTGTCATATTTCTGTTATGTATTTCCATAATATTTCCTATGCTTTTCAAAAAAAGTTTTTTTAGTACAAAAAAATATAAGAATGACAATAATCGTCGTCTCTATGATCTTGAAGAATGGAATGATCTTTCTAATGTCTCTGCCATGTCTTTAAATAATGTAACGAGGCCACCATTGACTCATAAATCATCCAATACTGAGAGTCTATCAGAATATACTGGAGAAGAAAGTCATAACAGCAAAAACAACAGTACTAGAGCGAGAGCAATTAAAAATTTGCCGTCACTTTTTCGTCCATCAGTGCACCCATCTAACCTTAATAGTAATAGTGGTTACGATAATGCAGGTTTACCTTCTATTCACAAAGAAAATATTCTTGATATCGAAGAATCTTCAATAGATTTAAATCGAAATGATTTAAATCATTTCGAAGAGGATTTATCGTCGGACGATGAGCTGAACGAGCAAGTTTTTCATGTATTAGCGGGGCCTCGGAATGTTGATTGGAGAGAATGTATGAAATAAATCACATGTAATCATGGTATATATATGTTACACCAAATCCGTTTATGTAAAACACTCATGTCACTAGCATTTTTTCCAAATTATGCATATCGATATTCGATACATATGCCTTGTATAATAAAATGATTCCCTTAAACAACAATACTTGCTAATCACGTTTTATTTATCGTTGAGTAAAAATACGTACACGAAAATATCGTTCTCCTTTTGCATTTCACAAAGACTGTCGGCAAAACTTTAAGCAAAACCATCACATCCTTAAATATTCAACGTCGACTACAATCAAATACTGGTCGAAAGGAATCAACCGAAAAATCTTTTTGTTCCGAAAAACCAATGGATGCAATTGGGGGGGGGGGGACACGGAAAAAATTATCTCTATCACTCAACGATAAAAGAATCTATTCGAAAATAAGATGGTCAGAAGCACTTGCTCAAGGTTGGAATAAGACGATTTGGATGAGAATGGAGGTTGATACAAAAAACTTATTTTCCAATCAAACTCCATATTCACTTTACGCCAAATGGCTTAGTTTACCGCGAAAACATCAAATGACTGCTGAAATGCCACCGGAAAAAATTAAACTTTGGTCGGAGACGGAAGTTGATTTACTTAAGAAAGGGATAAAATTCTTTGGAGAAAATTGGGACTTGATTCAAAAAACTTACCTCCCAAAGAAAACTATCAGTCTTATATGTAAAAAGTCGCATGATTTATGTCAGCATGACGAAATACATAATCTGCCAAAAAGATGGTCAATAGAAGTCAACTTGCTTAAAATAGAGAATCTACAGTAAATCTTTTATAAGTTACATATTTAACTGCAAAAAAACTAATTCATGTCTAATGGCATTAATCTCAAAAAATGACCAAGTTGAGAAAATCAACGGAGAGAATCGAACAGTACAAGGTTTTTTTTGGCAATTAAATTTTGCATTAAACTGCTGCAAAATGTGAACAATAACGAAAAATCTAAATAAAAAGTTTAATTAATGTTTTCGTTGGAAACTTTTTTTTAGACATCTTGAGTTATTAAAAAGAAAACAATAACTTAAAGAATATGTAAATATCGATATCGATGTCACTTGATCCATAATACCAAAAAGTTAGCCGTGATGGTTGATTCCATGTATTGATATCAACAAATAAACATAAAAAATGGATTCAAGTGAATTGTCACCATTTTTCAAACGTTTTAATTAAATAGTCCATGTAGTAACGGTAAACATCGATATGCTTAATAGCACATTTACGTACTTATCAATTTGTATCTTGTATTGATCAAAACATTCTTTTTGGCTTTTTTGTTCGAGTTTTTATCATGCATTTCAACATCCATTAAGATATTTGCTGATTTCCAAATAATACTTATAAAGATAAGTTATAATTCTTAGTTTGATTTACCCTAATTTTTAGTAAGAACTAGAATTAAAGCCTAAATCTAAGTTTAAATGCAGAAGTGGTGATAATGCTAACAATATTAGATAGAATAATCGCATAAATTTAGAGTCCGGTCCGGTTTTATAGATACAGTGGCTCACGGAAGAAACGGAATGCCGAAAAAAAAATGGCGAGATCCAAATACCTATCATTGACAGGTAAAGGTAAGTCAATTTGATTCAATGATACTTTGAGTATTGATGAATCAAAAAATTATTTTGATCCATCTTCTAACAAAAAAAGATAATGATTTTTTTGGCATTCCATTTAATATGATCGATTTGGAAGTTAATTTTAAAGCTGGTTTTTTTTAATTAAGATAAGTTGGCAGCTTCTAAGAATTTCTTATTTAATATTCTATAGATCCACCCACGCTACTATGACCTTTTTAATCCTAGTTGCATCGATTCGTATAACTTTGTACAGTAATCGATATCTATGCTCTTTTGGTGGAAAGTGATCCAGAAAGTTGTTTCATGCATGTATCGATTTTGTTCCATAGGTTTTCGATTGGGTTTAGATCAGGAGACTGGGATTGCCAGTCAAGCAAAGTAATATATATCATTATCAGCGAACCATTTTTTTTGTTTTTCTGAAGATCATTATCTTGTGCAAGATAAATTCACTATTCTCCAGCATTTTCTCCCAAAAAAGTTATTATTTAAGTATGTCACATTTATTTCAAGCCCATTAAGTAAATACCATTTAAATACATAATATATGATGTTTTGAGAAATGAACTCGGGCTATATTGACGTTTGAATTTTGATGAGATTTCGTTTGCTGTTGCCTCAAGTGATCAAGTTCACTTAACAACACTACGAGATACCGACTATAAAGTACCATAAAAGTTAAGGTTTCTGAAGGAAGATGAGGATTTTAGCGTGCCGATTTTGTTGAAGAGTTGACAAGCGAGATGATCCGATGACTGTAGTTGCGGCAAGGTATACTCGCAACATGGTAAAAATTATTAAATCTTTTTTAGTATCTTCGTATATTATAACTTTTCGAATTTCGATTCATTCAAACAGATCCAAACTGGACGAATTTTTTGTATAATCAACGAACGAGAAAGGTGACGACAATAACAAAACCTAATAGCACTTGTTCAATTATCTATTTACCAAGTGTTAACTACGTAATGATTAGAACGAATTACTTGATGTTGGGAGTTCGGTGAAAAATCACAAATTTGTATCGAGAAGCGCTAAAAGCAGCGGCAAAACAAGATTATGAAGGATGTATTTATTACTCTGAACAATTAGGATTCTTTATTGGACTGGGAACAAAGATAATGCATTACGATTCATATAAAAGAAAACAAGAATTGAATATATTTAAAATAATCTCGAATTTTTTATGAAGCTTATGAAACGAGCACACGCCGACAATCGGTGAACCTTTCGCTTCACAAACAGTCGTATTCTATTCTAACAATGTTGAAGCACCGTTTGATTCCTCGAATGAGACTTTTTCGTATGTATATATATACATAAAAATATTTCTGTTTAATCAAAAATCAAAGAAAAATCTCATGCTCTTGCAGAATGTTTTGGTTGAAGAAATGGCTAATAATTATAATCATTTTTGTAAATGTTATTTTTGTATTGATTATTATCAAGAATTATCTTAAAAATTGTATATATTTTAATAATAATTCCTCTAAAGATGATAAAAAATCTCAAAAAATTAATAAAATTACAGTCAAATTTCACATTTTACTTTTTTTATTTATATATAAATATAGTAAAAATCTCTTTATAATCATATTTTCTTTATAGTTATTCAATTTTGCTTTTTTGAGAGTAATAATTATAAAGAAATTTAATTATATATTATTTTGATAAGATTATAATTTTTATTAATATTTTTTTATTAGATATTAATATAACTTATAATATATTAATTAATTTATATCAAAG